GTTTCCTTTAGATGCTATAGAAATAAACATTTACAGCTCAAAAATTCATCTCAATTTTCTCAATATTGATCAAGGTCAAATGTCTATATCAGCACTGTCCAAAAAAATTTCTGCAATGATAGAAATTGTCTCCACTGATCAATATGGTAGCCACTATTCACACGTGGCTACTGAGTACTTGAAATGTGGCTACTACAACTGAGGAACTGAATTTTTAATTTTCATTAAATTTAAATAGTCATACATGTCTAGTGGCTACCAAATTAGACAGTGCAGGGCTAGAAAATCTCTACAGAATTGGTTAATGAGGCAATGAAAACTAAGCAGTGGTTTTACAGAGCACCTGCCACGCAAAGCAGCTGAGATATCGTGGAAAGAACACATTAAGCATGCATGACTTCTGATTCCAAATGAGGCCATTATCTACCAGCAATAGGAGGCTGATGAAATCACGTAAGTTTTGCATGCACTTCATCTGTAAAATGGGGCTAAAAGTGTCTGCCTTCAAGGGAACTGTATGATTAAATGTGTCTGTATGTGAAAGTACTCTGCAAAATGAAAAGTACTATATACAATTATCTATCATTTCTATAACAATTTTGGGAAAGGAAAATGTGCCCATAAACCTATTACAAAGCTACTAATCTAAGACTAGCCTCAGCTGGGCTCGGTGGCTCAGCCTGTAATCCCGCGCTTTGGGAGACTGAAGTGAGTGGATTGCCTGAGCCCGCGGGTTCGAGATCCACCTGGGCAACTTGGCGAGACCTCATCTCTACAATAAATCAAAAAATTAGCCGGGCATGGTAGCGCATGCCTGTAGTTCCAGCTACTTGGAAGGCTGAGGCGGAAGGATCGCCGGAGCCCAGAAGGGCAAGGCTGCAGTGGCCGGGAGCATGCCACTGCCCTCCAGTCTGGGCGATAGAGTGAGACTCCAACTCAAAAAAAAAGGACTAGTCTCAACCATATAATTAAAATGCCTGACACATAGTCAAGTGACTTTGCCAATCACTGCTTCATTATAGGTAGATAAAATATACAGAGGAAATGGTATTCTGATTAGACCAAAAGGTGATTTCATTGTATAACTACATTCTTTATTCTTTTTTTTTTTCTGAGTTGGAGTCTCACTCAACTTCACCTAGGCTGGAGTGCAGTGGCACGCACGCTCATGGCCACCCCAGCATCGATCTTCTGGGCTCCAACAATCCTTCTGCCTCAGGCTTCCAAGCAGCTGGAACTACATACGCGCGCTACAACGCCCAGCTATTTTTTATTTTATTGTAGAGATGAGGTCTTGCCAAGTTTCCTGGGCCGGTCTCAAACCCGTGGGCTCAGGCAATCCACTTGCCTCAGCCTCCCAAAGTGCCGGGATTACAGGCTGAGCCACCAAGCCTGGCCTTCTTTATTCTTAAAAACTAACTTTTTAGCTAACAGATGTGAATTAAAAGGTAATAAACAATGTCAAAAATTCAGCATCCTTCTTCTTAAGGATGCAATAGACAAAATATTAGCAAGGCTATTGAGAAAACATTCACAAGGATCCTTTACTCTAAGAGAATAACAGAAACAGTTCTTTGCTGTTTGGCCACAGTTTATAGCTGTGGTGATAACTATGGAACACAAGTCCAAGGATATTTCTCAATACCCAGAAGACAAAAAGCATGGTCCATGTCTATAGGAATATATGCCATAATACCACCTTAAATAGTTACACCATTGGAAACATTTTACCTGTTTTCCTGAAGATTATATCTCATGTAATCCTTGTAATAATTCCATTAAGTAAATAAGGAATAACCTGATACTCTAAGAAGTCGAAAATCATGGTCAAAATTTAAAACATGCATAGTATTGTGTAGCATTTTCCTGTCTTTTATAATGGGGCCCATCTATATGTTTATACACACTTGTTTAAGGAAAACAAAAAGGTTCTATCAATTCAAATGAACTAAATAGTGTATTTCTAGATCTTGATAATGATGCTTCAGAGAGAAAACAAATTCTTGTTAAATCCAAAATTCATTACGATATGGACGTATATGATTAAATATCATATCATGTCATTAAAAAGAATACATGCATTCTTTTAACTCTGATAGAAGAACTAAGCATTAAAATCAATTTAAAGGTAAATAATGAAGTCTCTAGCTACTGCATAGTAATAAGTTGGTCAGCCAAAAAATAATTAACCCATTTTTTAATTAATTTACCAGCCATAAATTACAAGCTTATTGATTACTAATCATATCATTTATTATTTAAGGTTTGAAGTACTGGCTTTCTCATTAAAAAGATAATGTCCTTAAGGATTTTTAAAATTAAATTTCAGTGAATATTTTCATACATATTCTTTTATCTCCAGGGGTATCCTTCTGTATACTCCTTCTGTATCTTATACTTATTTTTTTCTCTTTTCTCACTTAGGTTCAGCTTTCAATTCTCTTCCTTCATATTCTCTGAACTGTCTACTCATAAAGTAAAACCCCTATAACAATTTTTTTGGAGATAAGAAGTAGTCCAACTTGTTTTAAATTACTATCATTTTAAATCAAAAACAAGGGATAATTGTGTAAGATAAGATGAGGATTTTAAAAGATATAAATCTCTTAAGGAAAATAAAAACAAATAGAAGTTCTAACCAACAATCAAAAAACATTTTTTTTTTTTTAGTTGGAGTCTCGCTCTATCACCCCAGGCTGGAATACAGTGGCACAATCACAGCTCACAGAGGCTCAAGGGATCCTCCTACTTTCGTCTCCCGAGAAGCTGGAACTATAGGCACATGCCACCATGCCAGTCAATTTTTTTTTAAGGTTTCTCTATGTTACCGATACTGGTCTTGAATTCCTGGGATCAAGCAATCCTCTCACCTGAGCCTCCCAAAGCACTGGAATTACAGGCATGAGTCACTGTGCCCAGCCCCCCAAAAATCTTATTTACATTAATAAAAACATTTAAATTGACACATTAAATAAAATCAGGTTTTATGCTAAACCGAGATAAATGATTTGTCAGCAAACACATCATTTGAAATTTAATCTTTAAAATTAACCCAGTTGGCTAGGTGTGGTGGCTGACACCTATAATCCCAACACTTTGGGGGGACAAGGTAGGATTGCTTGAACCCACCGGTTCGAGATCAGCCTGGGCAACTTGGTGAGACCTCATCTCTACAATAAATCAAAAAAGAGCCAGGTGTGATGGTGCGTGCCTATAGTTCCAGCTACTTGGAAGGCCAAGGTGGAAGGATTACCTGAGCCTAGCAGGTCAAGGCTGCGGTAGCTGTGAGAGTGCCACTGCACTCCAGGCTAGGCAACAGAGTGAGACTCCAACTCAAAAAATAAATAAATAAACAAATAAATAAAATAAACCCAGTTAATGAACTGCACATTTTAAAAAGTTACTATATTTTGAAAAAATTAACCCAGTTAAGAACAAATCTTTTTTTTTTCTTTTGAGTTGGAGTCTCACTCAGTCGCCCAGACTAGAGTGCAGTGGCCGCTCCCGGCCACTGCAGCCTCAACCTGCTGGGCTCCGGCGATCCTTCCGTCTCAGCCTTCCAAGTAGCTGGAACTATAGGTGTACGCTACCATGCCCGGCTACATTTTTTGATTTATTGTAGAGATGAGGTCTCACCAAGTTGCCCAGGCGGGTCTTGAACCCACAGGCTCAGGCAATTCACTCCCTGGGCCTCCCAAAGCGCAGGATTACAGGCTGAGCCACCAAGCCCGGCCAAGAACAAATCTTTATTATAAAACTAAGCCTCTTTAAATAAATGGCAGATGTGGCATTTTGGTAAGAAATATATCTCCAGTATAATACTTCACATCTTTCCACAAAAACTTTAGATAACTTTACTGACATTTTATCACCCACAATTAGACTTCAGAATTAAGTTATTAAAATGAATGGGAGTATGACAACTTCTTTTCTAATAATATTTATACAGTTTCAAAAAATGACATGATTGCCTTAAGAAAAATTCAAATACTAATATTTTGAGTCTTCAATTTCAGTCTAGTTACTTTGGACATTTCAACCTGAAAATAACCATTAGGTTAGAAATAAACTCTTAAATTTAGTACAAGCACAAGATATGTTTTTAGTTTATGTTTTCCAAAATGTACATCAGAAAATATTTAGTGTATACATACATAAAAATATTTATTGAAATCTTACGAATTTCTATAAAGTCCTAGGAAGTATAAACACTGGGAATCTTTATTTCTACACCTAGATATGCCATTATGACTATGGAAATGACTACTATATATCACAAAATAATAGGAGCTGTATTTTTATTAGTTATCATTGCCATTAAATCTGGATATAAAAGAGGCACTAAAAGTTGAAAGTCTTGGGTACTAAAATTGAGTCAGAGATGTATGGTCCTTTAACTTTAGGAGAATCAAGTATCGTGCTCCATTATTCATTTCTAACATGACAAAGAATAAATTCTGTGATTATTCCTTAAGACAATAGAGATTCATCTTAAGATGTTCAAGAAGATGTAACAGATTAGCAAAACAGAATTAAGTCTGATTTTTGTGAAAAAAAATTCACTCGAAGTCATTTTAGATTGACAACAATATGGAAAGCTGAATTTAGGGAAAGGTGTCAACAATGTAAGTTAGAAACACTAGTTTGCCAATTAAAAACCAAACAATGCACTGTGTGACTATCAACAAAAGGTTAAAATTTCAACAATCTCAAATGTTCCTGTCAAATGAACCCGGCCACTATGAACCAAAGACTTATTTTCCTTTTGTGTACTCCTGTTCCCTCATTCTTACCGAAGCTTCTATTATGTATTACAGTATTATCTGATTATAAAATAGTTGACACTGTAAGCATCAAACATTTGGGGGGGCAAAGCCATAAAATAACCAAAGCAGAATACCTTGTTCCTACCACTGTATAAACACTTATCTGCAATGAGGCTGGCATTTAAAATTGTACAAACGATCCAGTAAGAATGCTAAGAGAAAACAGTGACATACCTGAAAAGATAGCTTCTTTCAAATATAGTAACATATGGGAGAACTTCCTGATATCATTCACCAACTCCTTGATGTAATCCGGATCAAAAATGGAGTTAGAACTTATGGACTTGAGCCCCATTTCAGAAGCTGTAACATCTGCAGATAGTTGGCCTGATGTCCAAACACGCTTTTTCTTTGTCTTTTTCTGTTTGTAAGCAATCATCCTTTCATTTAACAGTCAGAAAAACTGAAATCCTTAAGGGGACAAGAAACAAAAACAAAAACAAAAAAGAGAGAGAGAGAGAGAAACACAAATACTAAATCAGCCAGGGAAACATTATACTAGGTTTTCACAAATAGCTCTCAGCCCACATGGATATTCTATTTTTAAAATGTTTAAAATAAACAAATACAACACTGTATTATTATTAATGACAGGAGCTTCCATTTATTAAGTGGCAGTAATTTTGACAACTCTGATATGCAAACTACAGTTCTTGTCACAAGCAAGGAACCTAAGATTTAAACGTTAAAAATGTGTCTAAGCTCTCAACTGATAATGAACTGGAACTTAAACCTAGATCTGCCTTGATGCCAAAATCTATGCTCTTAATAAATTCCTCTTAATTCCTAGGATATAATTTTTTTGTAACTGTAAAAGTTGTTCTGAAACATCACTTAGCGAAAAGTCACAATCTCCCTCCAAAATATTACCTTCAAAAATAAAGATAAGTAAAATTTCTAGACACCAAACAGAAACAAATTAATATGAGATGGGCTTTGACAAAAGAAATACCTGTTTTAAAATTCCTCCTCCATCATTTATTGTATAACCTAATCATCTCTTCACTTTGGTATGCTCATTTATAAAACGAGAATAACACCCTGACGATACCTACCCTCAGGAAATTATTTTAAGGATCAAATAAGACTATAGTATATAAGTTTCCAACACATAAGAGAAGTTCAATTAGTTACTCTAATAATGTACACACACACACACACACACACACACACACACACACACACATATCCTGGATTATCAAGTCTTATTAGGAATATTTCTTTGTTGAAAAGTTTTCAGTGTGTTCACTAATCTGAATACACTGATTGGTTGAACAAATTAACGTGATTATCAGAGCATTAGTTTTGATAATTTTAGGATGGTAGAGTAAAAAAGCAATCTTTTGCGATGAGAAAATTTCAGATTTGAATCTTTATTATAATGTTTTCTGGACCTGTGACATGTACAATTTACCTACAGGCTTGTATAAGGATAGAACAAGACACAAGATTAAAGATTTCCTATGTTACAACACCTAATACTGGCATACAATACCTAATACTGGCACACAGTTGGAACTCAAGAAAAATCTCAGTTTTTTTCCTTCTTCATTTAACCTTTCCAGAATTAAAAATCCTAATTGTGTTTGTATCTCTTGAAATAAAAAAAAGGGCTGGGCTCGGTGGCTCAGCCTGCAATTCTGCGCTTTGGGAGGCTGAGGTGAGTGAATTGCCTGAGCCCGAGGGTTCGAGACCTGCCTGGGCAACTTGGCAAGACTTCATCTCTATAATAAATCAAAAATTAGCCGGGCGTGGTAGCACATGCCTGTAGCTCCAGCTACTTGGAAGGCTGAGGTGGAAGGATCGCCGGAGACCAGCAGGTCGAGGCCGTGGTGGCCAGGAGCATGCCACTGCACTCCAGTCTGGGCAACAGAGTGAAACTCCAACTCAAAAAATAAATAAATAAAGGAACTGACCAGAGGAATTAAATTAGTTCACACATTAGCATTCAGTCTATTCTCCCCCTCAAATATTTCATCTTGAATATTTGGATATTTCCAAATAGCAGAATAAAGACTTCTGTGAAATTTATCCTGAAAGGCTATATGTAATATTTGTTTCTAGTAATATGCAAGACATATGATTGCATCATTTAATCTTTCCCATATCCCAGCCAACTCCATACTTTTTTTCCTCCTAATTTAGAATTCTCTATCTACTGCCATCACTCTAGTGAATTAGCATCATTTCTTGTCTAAGCTACTATACTAATTTCCTAATAATCTATCCACATCCATTCTTGTCCTATTCCAAATGCAGTGAACTTTCCAAACATAAATCTTATGTCATTTCTCTGCTCAAACCCTTCTAAAGGTCAAGTGAGAAGCCATCGAGCTCATGAGGCTCAACGGGAGATCTGGCTCTTCCATCTACCTGTGCTGTGTAACCTGAAGAAAATTCCTGGCTCTCAACACTCCACCACACGTCTCCTCATTATTCAGTGCTTGTTTACCACAACTTGCAGCAGGAAATAATCTTACATCAGGAGCCAGTATACATGTTAAGCATGCCGTGTTTGTGTATGGTGTGTGGGTAAGAATCCATCTGTGTTTCATAAAACCGATTCTGGCTAAGGCTCCATATGATATATGCAATTAAAAAAAAATTCTATCCCATTTCATTCTGCAAAATGCTGACTGAAACCCCAAATTGGTTTCATACATGTAATTGTTTGGCTCAGGGTCCTGTCTAAAAGTAGTTCCACTTGCCTAGAATATTCCCTCTCTTTCATTTACTCATTCTGAACCAGCTCAAAAGTTACCTCCTCAAAGAACAACCTTCCTGAACTCCTCTTGTCCCCTCATGACCACTACCACCAAGCTAGAGCTCCTGTGAGGTGCTCTAGAGCATCCTGTACTTTTCATTGTTTCACTGACCACAGTTAAATAGATCAGTTATGTCTTCCCTCCTAGACTACAATCGAGGAGATAACGACTTCATCTGTCACTAACCATGTGTTCTCTGTTCACAGCACTGTTTGGCATGAAGAAAGAACTACTCAAATTTATCTGCTGAATGAATAATGAATTTGCAAAATATACGTTATAAATGTATAAATCTTCAATTAATTTTTATAGAAACAAAAATAGTTAATCTTCATTGTTGCCACTTTTGAAGCAGAAAATATAAATTTTTCAAGAAAAACATCTCTAAAATGGTATCTTTCAAAAAGAAAAGCATATAAAGCTGAGTAAAGATAAAATTGAAGTCAGAGTTGGATATCTATTACTGTTTGTCCTGATTATTAAAAAGGGGGCCCCAAAACTTTTATAATAGCTTTTATTTTTATTTTTTGATTTACTGTAGAGACGAGGTCTCACCAAGTTGCCCAGGCGGGTCTTGAACCTGTGGGCTCAGGCAATCCACTCACCTCAGCCTCCCAAAGTGCTGGAATTACAGGCTAAGCCACCGAGCCCGGCCTCTAATAGCGTTTAAAGTTCATTTATTCAACATCCTTTTGTTAATCTCAAATTGTTTCTCAGAATATAATTTTTACACTTAAACTAGTTTCAACTAACAATTAATTAATCTAACATTAATCCTTAAATGTGTAGCTCATTTCTAAAATGAACCTAGGGCAATTTGAGTACTACGATTATACCTAAGCCTCCCTTTCACTAACAAAAACAAAACAAAAACTCAGGTGCCTTGTTTGGGCAGATCTTTTAAAAATCACTAAGGCGGTCATTAGCCTAACAAATCTTATCACATTTGCAGTTTACTTAATAAAGTCATTCTGTTTAATTCTGACACTGGTAAAGATAGTTACAAAATTAAAGATAAAATAAAACAATTGTCTATTTCAGCAAAAAGAATTTAATTAACTATGTGTCAAAATAGTAACTCAAACTTGTAAAAAGGTGTTTCAAAAATACTTACACATCCCACATCTTTAAAATAAAAAATTGTTTAAAAAACAAGCATTTTTAGACAAGACTAAAAAAATTTGTAAAAATAAAACAAAAAACACACGGCAGGGAGAGGAAAAACTGAAAAGAAGCAGACTCTATCTCTAGTCAGCTTTATGGTGATTAATGTGCTAATTTTGTTTTTTATTCTTTACTACTTTTCATATTTCAAAGTAAAGAAAGAAAACATTACAAAATGTTTAAACAACAAACTTCATCCAAATCTTCATAACTGAACTATGATAATGAGAAAATCTGGACAATCTGTAATTTCTGAGATCATCCACACTACTTTATAAGTGCTAAGATGAATACTCACTAGTTGGTGATAGCATAAAATGCAGTCACTGAGTGCAATTAGCAATTTAATTTAATTAGGTAATAATGCATGAAAGTACTTAGCAGAGTGCCCAGTCAACTTAAAGAGTCAATAACTTAGACGTTATTACTAGCAGTGCTTTGGAAAGGAAACAATTCTAACTTAACTGACTTCGTGGAAACCTGCTAAAAGGCTTCAACTGTGCATGCAGATTGTTGAGCAAAATGTTTGTGAAACTTTAATTCTGGTGCTCTCTAAACCATCAACATTAAAAACATATATTATCCACTTCTCAAAGAATTCCGCAGCAGTAGAAAATTACAGTGAGAAACTACTTTCACAGCATGTTGTAAATTCCAAGTATTATGTGTAGTCGAAGTGTGCACACAAACTTCCTGGTTCCTCAAAACATGGCCTTTCAAGATGTAAGCAGCCTGTGTCAATCAAATGTCCCATGTCCAGCCCCCACCACATACATTAAAGTATCTTCATTTTAGGCACTGGGCTGTCAGAGTGTAAAACTGCTCCAAATACCAGTACATAATGGGTCCCACTTTACCATTTCTTCCAGAGAAAAAAACTTCCAGATATTTCAGAAATCTGCCATTTCAGCACTATTTCTGATTTGGTAAGAATCTATTTAACGATGCTTTAAAAAATTAGAAGAATTAATTCTGAGAATCTTTCATTTTATTTTTGAAAAGCACGCCCCACAAAACCAGAAAAGGGGCCTGTGAGAAAGTTTTATCCACAACATGCAAATGATGTCTACAGGAGAGCCAAAAACCCACCCAGTGCAAACGACCTACCACCACGAGGCCACCAGCCTTGACCCCCAGAATGTCCCGCATTCCAGGTGGGTGGGCTCTCTGGCCAACCAAAAAACCACTGCTTGGAGCACGCTTCCACCCCAGGGTCCAAGGAGAGAGGGAGGACACCACTCCAAGTGAATACAACCCTACCCCAGGGTCCAAGGAGACAGGGACGACACCACTCCCAGGGAGCACGCTTCCACCCCAGGGTCCAAAGAGAGAGGGAGGACATCACTCCCAGAGAGCACGCTTCCACCCCTGAGTCCAAGGAGAGAGGGAGGACACCACTCCCAGGGAGCAGATCCCACCCCAGGGTCCAAGGAGACAGGGGGAATGCCACTGCCCGAGAGCTCGCTCCCACCCCAGGGTCCA